GTGAGGTCCTCACTGATGTGGGCGCCCAGGTATTTGAAGCTGCTCACCCTCTCCACCTTGAGCCCCCGGATGAACAGTGGCTGATGAGATCTCTTCCCCTTCCTCATGTCCACTATCATCTCCTTCGTCTTGTCCGTGTTGAGGGTGAGATTATTGTCCTTGCACCATCACACCAGACCGGCCACCTCCCTCCTATAGGCTGCTTCGTCCCCACCAGTGATGCGACCTATCACTGCGGTGTCGACCGTGAACTTCAGGATGATGTTGTCTTTGTGGGAGGCGACACAGTCATGGGTGAACATGGTGTAGAGGATGGGACTGAGGACACATCCCTGTGGGGTGCCAATGTTTGTGATAATGCTGGCTGAGGTCCTATTGCCAATCCTGACAGTCTGCGGTCTGCCAGTCAGAATTGCACACTGGGGCTTTTGTTATCGAGGAGCGCATTACAGCAGGAAGTTGGTCAGGCCCTGGGAGACGACAGCTGCATCAACAGACATGATGTCTGAGAACTTCGTTGTTCTTACTCAGCCAGTGACAAACCAGGTGAGAGAGCCACTCAGAGTCATCACAGCCCTGTGTTGTGACACTCAACATGGTGGAAAAACAACAAGAAAGGTCTCAGTGTATCAAAGTATCATTTTCTGGCCTTAACTGTAGAGAAATGGCGTAATCCACTCGCCATATAATATTATATTATAAAGCTCATCAGGCCGTAAATGTTAAACTATATTTTTCTATAACATGGCGCCCTCCGAGGCAGACGTGTTTGCGCATTCCACTCCCGAATGCCGACTTTGTCTTCGTTTGTCATCCTATATATGTTGATCGTACAATGAGCGCCAGATGCAGTGGCGTAAATCTTGAGCAAACTCAATTTAAAGATGGTGCACGGTGCACAGGATTACGGCTACATCTAATGTTTGCCCCTCCTGGAGATTACTCCATACTTCGTCAGTCTGGATCATCTGGGTTTCGCTCTGTCACTTGTCTTTTGTAAACAGGGTCTTTATTCAACACTAAACTGTGTCGCTGTGAACCCTCCACACAAACATTCGCAGGTGCCAATTCGGCACCGGAGCGCGCACTGTTTGAGTCGAATGGCGAATCAATCACACCTCAAATTTTAATGTCACAACTTAGAGCATTCCGTTTTGTAATAATGTAATGTTATGAATTTCAACCATTTTATGCAAATATGCCTATTCCTTTTTCACTCTTGGAGAAAAAAATTGTGGGGGAGAATCGTTCCAGTGTGTTCTGAATTATGGAGATACTAACTTCCGCTTGGGCCTAGAATGCATACGGCACTCGCTGTGGGTGCCTAGCAACGGTTGCTAAGCTGTTTACTTACGTCAGACGTTCCTTTGATGAGGTTACGTCCAGATTTACCTAACAAGTCTATGCCAACAATAGTAGTTTTAACTATACACAGAGTCAGACAGTTCGGTTAGTTTTAACCAGACACACTCACAGAAATAAGTAGCCAATTTCAAAAACATTCACTTCGTAAAAGACCAGCTAACATGGATGTAAACACTGACGGTCTCCCGGAATTAACTGTGGAACAGCTTCACCCATTGACTCAGTCCAGTGACTCTGGAAGCCATGAAGCCTCATCACATCAACTTCAGGAGGAGCAAATTACCGTACTTTCAGATGATACTGTTGATTATCTGTCTTCCCAAAGTGAAGCGGTGAGCGTCAACGCTGGTGATTACTACAGTAGACGATATGAAAGAGACAGATGCTACTGCTCAGGAATTCAGCGTCGAGCGTTGCACGAATGAAGAGAGGGGAAAACTTAAGGAGAGATTTGCTAAGCACTTTGCCAAACTGTCATTTTATCGAATCATGACACAGCTACAAGGCAAATTCTTTAGCCACTGCACTGCACTTTCTACCAGTGATTTGCATTCTCACATGGTTCAGGTTAACTCGCTGTTTGAGGAACAAGAAGGTGAGGTTTGCCAGGGCAGCCTTATAGAAACCATCTCCAGCGGCGAGGCCCCGGTATTAACAGATAAACTTTGCGGTGTACTGAATGATTTTGTTGACGGCTTAAGATCGAAGACCATCACAAAATCAGGCGGCCACATCATTATATCAGTGACTCCACCAACATCTGTTGTGCATCATGAGATACAGAACAGCGTGCAGCGTTTCCTCGGAACGATGAGGGAGTGGCTGCGCACTCAGGCTGACACCTGTGTGAGCTCGGTGATGACACGGATCGCTGAAGATTCAATGTCTTTCCCAAGTGAAGCGGTGAGTGTCACTGCTGAAGGGGAGGAAAGGACAGACAGCGGCCAAGAAGCTACATTAAATGATCATCTGTCTTCCCCAAGTGAAGCGGTGAGCGTCAACGCTGAGCAGGTGAAAAGGACAAACATGGGCCTACGTAGTTATGCAAGCTTCGCTGCTGAAGAGAAGGAAAGGGGACAAGGTTATCTGTCTTCCCTACATAAATGGGCAAGCGTCACTGCTGAAGAGGTGAAAACGATATACATTGCCCAAGAAGCTACATTAAAAGATCATCTGTCTTCCCCAAGTGAAGCAGTGAGCATCACTGCTGAAGGGGAGGAAAGGACAGACAGCGGCCAAGAAGCTACATTAAAAGATCATCTGTCTTCCCCAAGTGAAGCGGTGAGCGTCAACGCTGAGCAGGTGAAAAGGACAAACGTGGGCCTACGTAGTTATGCAAGCTTTGCTGCTGAAGAGAAGGAAAGGGGACAAGGTTGTCTGTCTCCCCTACAGGCAAGTATCAGCGCTGAGCAGATGAAAAGGGTGAGAGAACGTTACGTGGAGGCAGCTGTGTCCTCTGTGTATGCAAGGCTTATCGTGAATTGCAAAGTATTAGTTAATCCACCACATAACTCCATCTCAAGTGAAGCGGTGAGCGTCAACGCTGAGCAGGTGAAAAGGACAAACATGGGCCTACGTAGTTATGCAAGCTTCGCTGCTGGAGACAAGGAAAGGGGACAAGGTTGTCTGTCTCCCCTACAGGCAAGCATCAGCGCTGTGCAGATGAAAAGGGCGAGAGAAGGTTACGTGGAGGCAGCTGTGTCCTCTGTGTATGCAAGGCTTATCGTGAATTGCAAAGTATTAGTTAATCCACCACATAACTCCATGAAGCGAGTGCGTGAAAGAACCTGTGATCTCTTGAAGTCTGAAGCTTTAGACTGTAATTTAAAATTTTTGAAGGACCTGGACAAAAAGGTGTTCAAAGACCTGTGCAAACATTTTGGCAGTGCAGATGGGGTGCAGTTTCAACTGTATTCGGATACAACAGTAACCGAAGATTACATCGCCTTGACTATAAAAAATCACTTACTTAACCCTAACCCACCAAAGAAACACAGCGCCATTCGCAGGTTCTTTACTAATGCGTGGAAAGTTATCCGATGTCGCTAAAGTAGTCAAAAGGAAATCGTTGAGTGGTAGGACTCTTTGCACTTCCGGGACCTTTGCCACATAAGTGTACAGTATGACAAGAGATAACGCATTCCGTATGACATCCATGGTAATAACAAGCTTCTCAGCATTACTATTGTGAGCTCACAGCTACAGTAAAAGACAATGGCTTGACTCTGTCCTCACCGTGAGTTTGCAATCTGCCTACTATGATGTTGTGGGTTTCCTCCCACATTAAATAAGGAAACAATTCGGCAATCTAAATTAACTGATTGATCTGATCGATTAAAAGCTGATTAGATAAAACATGTTGAGAGTGTGATTAATGTATGCTGAAATAATTATTTTCATAAAGAATAATAGAGTCGTCAGTGCGACGATTCGTTGTGGCGACCCCTAAATGGGAAAAGCCGAAAGTGACATAAAGCATGTACAAAAACTTTCAAGAAGCACTGCAATATTAAATAAAGCAAAACATCTTCTGGATCACAAATCTCTTCACTTGTATTACAATATTGAAATTACCAGGGGCGCCGCTAGCAGTTTTGGGCCCTATGAAAAAATTTGAAGTTGGGCCCTCTACAAGAAACTGTGGAAAATCCTAGCCTATTGTATAATATTTTTTACTATTTTGTAAAGAGATTACAAATTCTTTTCCACGTTTTCCGTTATTATTCTAATAGCCAGCTAACTGTAGCTTTCTGACGGAAGCTAAGGTTAGCTAGCTAGGTACAAATACCCTGACCGAAAGCATTTTCCCTCTCTGTTGGATTTACAAATGTACTTATTGATTATGATAGTCCTATACATCTGTCACTAGGTTATACACCAATTAGGCATAACATTATGCCTGTACATCTGTATGCACTTCATTCACTTTAATGTACTGTAACACTCTTCCACTCATTTTTATAATCACTTTTACTGGCCAAGTATGTTAAACACAGGAGGAATTTGTCTCCAATACAGAACAAAGACAGCCATCTGCGGTGCCAACTCACACACACACACACACACACACACACACACAAACTGATGGCAGCACCCTGCAGGGGCAGTGTTGTCCTGGCCATCAGGAGCAACTTGGGGTTCAGTGTCCGAGGACACTTCAACATGTGGACTGCGGAGAACATTGTCAGTGTTTGCCATAAAAAAATCAAGTAAAATTGTGAAACTAATTATTACTGATGGCACCCGTGTGTGAATCTCTTCGTTAATCAACCGTTTGCTCACCTTCTTCTTCACTGCAAGGAGCTCCACCAGAGGACGGATCGTCATTCCCTGAAACACAAATGAGTTCAGGTGGGTGATTCATGCTTCTCTCATGGACAGAACAAAACAAGCTGTTCAGCTATCTCATGTGAGTCACAAATTATATATCAGGTTTGTTTATTGTCAGTTTTAACCTGCAGCACACGAGTTGCCAGAAGAGTTCAGCAAAGGACATGGATGACTGTACATGGACCAAAATGTGCTTATTAGGAAAAATTAGTTACATTTCTGGCTTCTTAGTTCTACATTTTTGTTAAAAATGATTACAATATAATTGATGTTGATTTTGTATCCCACTGAAAATTTCCTATGACGAGTGATTTAGTCTGTTTTTAGTGTATAGTAGTAATTTCTGCAGCAATCCAGCACAGGGCCATGGCAGCGCTTCCTAGTTAGTTAAGAGAAGCCAGACCACAGCAAGCTAA